TGATAATACTAGTGCCATAAGCTTGACAAAGAATCCGGTTCTTCACTCAAGGACGAAACATATTGACATTAGGCATCATTTCATTAGAGATCATGTTCTCAAAGGTGATGTCGAAATTGAGTTTGTTGAAACACACAACCAATTAGCCGACATTTTCACAAAACCTTTAGAGAAAGAGTCGTTCTTCCGCATTCGTAGTGAACTCGGAATCCTTGACTCCACGATGATCTAAATTGTGCATTAATTATTATGTTTGGTCCCTACTAACTTGAACGTCGGAGACGTTTTTAATTCTTTTTTGCAGGGCTCTTTTTAATTTTATTTTCAGGTGTCAAAGTCAAGGGGAACAAAGCAAATCGACTTTTTGTCTCCAGACCTGGTGTAAATCGATTTACAGGCTTGTGATAATCGACTATCACAACCCACAGGAGTTAGAGCAAGGAAACTGAATGAGCCAACAATCGATTATCAGCATTAAGATAATCGATTATCAGGGGCTGCAGAACTTTCTCAAAAGTCAGGCGCAAACCAGCAACAATCGATTATCAACTATAAGATAATCGATTATTTAAGCCTGCAGAAGTTAAAGGCAACTTAGGCGCAAACTACAACAATCGATTTACAACCAGGCAGAAATCGATTATTGAAGCCTGCAGTTTCTTTGGCGGAGAATCTGAAGACTCGGATAATCGATTTACAGGGAGTGTAAATCGATTATCAACGGCGATTTTTTAAAAATTAGACCGTTGCAGAGACGTTGGAGAGTAGTTAATGACTTGTTTGACCATCCCAACGGATCTCTACACCTCCTCCACTATATATTGGTGATATCTACTTCATTTTTATTCATTCCAATCATCTTCTCTCAATATATTCATCATAATTCATCATTCTTGCTATTATTCTTCATTTTTTTCAAAATTTCTGCAATCTCTCTCTCCTCTCTTGTTGCAATGGCAGGCGGTCAGAGAAAGCGTTCCCGCACCGGCAAGAACGTGGCTTCTTCCTCGGTTCCTTCACCACCGGTGCACAAGTACCTCGACGGGTCGTTCCTTTGGTTCAACGACCACGCAGAGGCGACGCGGTTCTCGGAGAAATTTGAGCACCGAGAGATTCTCCCTCCCCGTTTCTCCACAGCCCGCTTCATTCATGACTCCATTCCACGTGAGGCACGGATTATCCTCGAACGTGGAAACTTCCTCGATCTCCTCTACATCAAGAAGATCAACTATCAACCCTTTCTTGTTCGAGCTTTCTACTCGAACTTGAAAAAGGATGAGGACGGAGTATTGATCTCTAACGTCAACGGGGTGAACATCTATTTGAATGAGGAGAACATTCAAATCCTCACCGGGCTTCATCGGGATGGACAGGATCTCGGGCTCTACGTTGGAGAAGAAGGAGCACGGTTCAACGAGACCGCTCTCTTAGAGGAAGTGGGTATCCGACACTTCGTACCCACTCCCCAACAGCGGCGCCCTACGATTGCTTCCATGAGCCCCGTGTTTCGATTCATTTTTTATGTTTTGACACGGATTCTCAAGCCCAGGAAGTTCAATCACACCACTCTCTCCTAGGAGGACACGAAGACAATTCATGCGATGATTCACAACGCCAATCTCAATTGGTGTAAATTTGTGATGACTCACATGTTCACGGCCACCTCCGACAATCGGCCGCTCCCCTACGCCCTCCTTGTCATGGCGATTCTTGAAGAATATAACATCAAAACCGATGTTGTGCCAAAGATAAAGGGGACAAAGCATTGGGAGATTGATGAATCCTCCTTCCACTCGGGCACCGACGAGACTCCATTTCGACAGCCTCGTCCACGCCGCCAACCGAGAGCCACTACCTCAGCCGCCGCCACTTCGACCAATCCTTCTCTCATCGAGCAAATGGCAGCCTTAACCGCCACTCTCTCTCGGATTGACACCAACGTCTCCAAAACGGCACACAACGTCAATACCTTGAGCCGTGAACTTCACGGGTATTTTGACTTTGTCAATTACCCGTACGCTCAAATGGTCCCTTACGTTCCTCCACCGAATTTCGGAGGTGAACAAAGTGGGACTCAAAGTGTTGGTAGAGATGACGAGGTGGACGAAGAAGAAGAAGAAGAAGGGGAAGAAGAAGCGGATGATGATGATGATGATGGCGACGGTGACGAAGATGAAGAAGAAGAAGACATTGACGAAGAACAACTTCTTAATGATCTTTCCCCGGATTTCTAGAGCTCTAGCTCTACTTTCTTCTCTTCCTTATTTTATCATCTTTTAATATGCTTTCGTTATGTACTCCGTTATTTCCCTTAATTAATTAATAAAAATCTTTATGATTTTTGTTGTTAACAATCTTTTTGTTAATGTCAAAAGGGGGAAGATAAGGGCTATGCATATATTAAGGGGGAATTTTTTTTAGGGGGAATGTTTTTCAAAAAGATCAAAACCCTATGCATATCCCCGTCTTGTTTGCCATTATCAAAAAGGGGGAAATTGTTGGAACACACTTTGTACGATAAACTAAAGTCGTGTTCATTTCTGACAGGTTTTGATAATTGCCAAACCGCCGTGGATATAAAGAGTTTCGTTGAATAACTCAAGGCGTGAAGAATGGCTTGGAACAAGACCTAAAAGACTCAAGGACAAGATCAAGAATTGAAGACTTAGTCGAGTCGGTCTTTTGTGATCAAAACCGACAATA